TTTTTGCTCGACATATCTCATGCTTCTTTTTCATTCCCCTTTTTTTTTTATGTGCTTATGAAGAAACACACATTTCCTGATTTGAAACGGCCATCAACAAAAAGCGAAGTGAAACCTGAGCGACTCAGTGTCCACAGTGTGCAGGATTTCCTTCACACTCCATCCTGATAGAGAGATGGTGAGAGGAGCTGCTCGTGAGCACATATAGAATATTTAGGAGTAGATAAAAGAATATTTATGACAAATATCTCTACATGTATGGGAGGTATTCGTTTGCGTGGAAATGAACAGGTTTCCAGCCAGTTACACACCACATGCTTCAGTTTCAATTCATGGCCGCTGTTCCTCTTTATCGCTGCGGTTTGTTTGTGTCCAGCTTTTGTTTCCATGATTATTTAGCTTACATTATTTTGCAGTTTGTACGACCAATGAGCCAAAAACTGAATTTTTTTTGTTCTATTGTTCGCAACACATCATCCCTCCTTTCTCTCCCATCATTTCCTGTCACCTTTATACCGTCCACTATCATAACACAGGCAAAATTCTTTTAAATCATACATATATGAATGTCTGATCTTTTTATAGCTTACCTGGGAACAGACCTAAAATGACCCACCTCTGCATCCATCTCATAGTCTACTTCTCATGAGTTCTACTATATGGGCTGTGCATGACATTTAAAAAAAAATCTGTTGTTATATTATAGAATATATTTTCAAGCTTGCTAACTCAATAGAAACTTGACTTCATATACACACACAGAACTTCCTCACTAAAACTCACAGCAGTTTGAGGAATTACTGTCGGTGTCTCGTGCACCATCAGCACACAACAGCGTGCTTTGCTACAGTACAGAATCTTCTAACTCTTCTAACTCTCTGCTGGCTCATCGCTGGATTCAGGCTGTGACCTGAGATCCCTTACATCCCTCAGCAGCTGAGCTCAGCTCTGCACAGCACAGCAAGTATCCATGATTTTCTCCTGGCTACTCAAAAACAAGAGAGTGCTGCAGTCGCTGTGCTGGATAGAGGATTTCGTAGTCATGAAAAAACATTAAAAATCCAATACAAAGTTATTTATTGCTGGTTTCAGCTTTTCAAATGTGAGGATTTTCCGCTTTTCTCTCTTTTATATCATTGTAAACTAGCACATGAATACATAATGAGAGATATTGTTAGTGGCAGCTCTACTTTCAACCTCTTTCAGAAGCATTTCGTATGACTGTATCAGCACTGATTCATCAGCATAGCTTAAGAACATAAATGATAAATATCGATCTGACATTTTCATCTACGTTTCTTGTAAAAGCTGCAGACGCGAGGACACAGATTTCTGTTTAAAAGTGCTTTAAAGAGAGGATCAAAGGGGATTAAAACTGTTTGCTTGTGGGCCATAAAAAGAAATGACAATCTGCTTCCTCATCATACACCACCCTAAGTTGGACAAAAACTAATCTGTGCACCCGCTCTGCCCTCACCCACTATCACAATGTGAATGAATCCAAGTGCACCCTTTAACTGCTGTAACATCACACACACAGTGTACAACAATGCAGTCCGTCTGACCGGTTAGCCCCGGAGAAGCCCTATAAGCACTGTGCTGCTGATCATGGGAAGCATTAGTGTGTTTGTTTTAAATGAGTCGTCCTACAGAGGAGGCATGGTACACAATAGACTTCCATGTACATACTTCCTCCACACCTGGCCAGTGTCACAGCAGGAACTATGACCACATCCCTCCTCATTTATAGCAGCTTTAGGAGGGCTGATCAGACCTTGCACACCACAGGAAATGGTCATATTAGAAACACTAGATATAGACTCAGCTTCAGCATCCTTCCCTATCAGGAAATTACACTGACAGAATCCAGATTGGTCAACTTAGTGCAGAGTTCGGCATTGTTTCTCCACTTCAGGAGCGTTAGTTTGTGTAAATAAACAAATAAACGAAGAAACGAAAGGATTCGTGATTGATCACATGACAATCACAAAAGTTAACCACGTCCCTATGAGAAAGTTGAAGTAAAGTTGGCTGTTTACTATCCTCCAGGCTGCTTTTTTTCTTCTTCTTCTTCTTCTTCTTCTTCTCCCCGGCACTGAGTGAACTAATGTGCAGCATTAACATTCACAACATGTGGCTGCCTGCTCCACTGTCAAGACAGTCAAGACAATTAGGGCTCCCTCCCATATCTCTAGGGAGGCACCAGGAGTTCACAATCACTTCTTCACTAAACCTGATACCAAAAGCTTCCAATAGGACATGTGTAGGCTACCTGTTGATTTTCAGAGCGAAAGCCCGTCGGTCTGCGCTGCTCAGAGACGCCATGTGTGGGTCTGAAGTCCAGTTCGGCGGCGCTGGCTCCGGTGCTTTCCTGCGGTGTGGCCGCCTCGCTGTCACCGACTCGCCGCTGCTTCCCCTCGCTACAGCTCAACTGTCATGTCAACACTCATGTTGCTTGTGGCGGCAGCAGCTTCACTGGGTGGAAACTTCCGCATTTGATTTGAGCCATCCCGTGGAGAGAGCGCGAGGCACACACTGGAGGCGCGAGGAGGGTGGGAGGGGACGACGGGACAAGCTGGATGAGGCACGCGCGCTCCCTCGCTGCCGAGATAAGCTTTTCGGTTGTTGTTTTTTTTTTTACAAGCAGTGTGTTTGTGTGTGTGTGTGTGTGTGTGTGTGTGTGTGTTTGTGTGGGGCATGTCTGAGAGTGAGAGAG